TCTCTCTCCCGCTCTCTCTCTCGCTCTCTCTCGCTCTCACTCTCGCTCGCTCGCTCATTTTCTCGCTCCCCGCTCTCTCACTCATTCCGCTCCTGCTACACCCCTCCCACCGTAGGTCTTTTTGCCCCTTGAAGCTTGAAGAAACAGTTTTATAACTGCGAGGCTTTTCCGTAGACGCTGCAGAAGTTTTTTTTAAGAAATTGTTCGTATAACCAAGTTAAGTACCTACACCTTGACAATAAAGGAATAAAGCCTACCCTCTGTGAGTTTTGGGACTGATTTTGAAAAAGCCCGCGAAATGTGTAGTGAGTCGCAATGAGGTTGGTAGCCCTTAATGTGTTCGCCCCAAAACAACAAGACAACAATCTCTGACGTCATTGTTCATGTTGTTTGAGTGTTTGAGTCATCTTCTAAGCTAGAGTTGCATTCCAGATTCCAGTGCAAAGTTCCAGTTTATAGGCCACACACAAGCGCGAAGATAAAAATTTGTGTCAGTTACCAGTTACTACCCATTATCGTTAAACATGTCGTCACAATTGGATAGTATCCTTTTCAACTTGCCTTTGACCCTTTCAGCTGTCAAATAACTCGGGCCTTTGTGATAGATAAGCTGATATTTTGTTCTGGAATTTAAGTGTGTATTTTAACTGTATTGCATAAATTCTGGAACAAAATATTTCAATGTCTTTCTTCTTCACTCAAATGTTCTTATGGTTACATAACCTTGTTGTGTTTGGGCCCTCTGTTTACACTAATTCCAATGTTTATTTGTCTGATATATTTTTTTTGTGACAGTTTAATTTATTTATCACTTGGATATTCTTTGTTGTACACCTCATGTATAATCCTTAACCATTTACCAGAACATCTCTTTAACCTAAAGTTTGCTGTGAAGGAGTTAGAGCGCAACTCAAAAAAATGCGAGAAAGAAGAAGCCAAAGAGAAAGCGAAGATGAAGAAGGCTATCCAAAAAGGAAACAATGAAGTTGCTAGAATTCATGCCGAAAATGCTATACGCCAGAAAAATCAGTCTGTGAATTATCTTCGAATGAGTGCTCGTGTTGATGCTGTTGCCAGTAGAGTCCAAACTGCAGTGACTACCAGCAAGGTTTGTTCATTTAACTAGTTATCTATTGACCTTAGCTTTAACAGAAAATGCAACAACAGTTGTTTCAATTTTCGTGCTATTATTGTTTATCTTTTGCTCCAGGTTACAAATTCTATGGGAGGTGTGGTGAAAGCCATGGATGCTGCTATGAAGTCTATGAATTTAGAGAAGATATCAAATCTTATGGACAAGTTTGAATCACAATTCGAAGATCTGGATGTCCAGAGCTCATACATGGAGAACACTATGTCGCAGACCACAACGACTAATGTTCCCCAAGCAGATGTAGACCAGTTGATGCAGCAAGTTGCAGATGAAGCAGGGTTAGTACTTTTGTTTCTCATCTCACTGATTCACTTGTCATCCATTAACTACCCTCCTTTAACTATTGTTTATTTTTGTATTTAGCTTGGATTTGAACATGGAGTTGCCCCAAGGACAGACTGGCTCTATTGGCACATCAACTCAGGTTTCCCAGGAGCAAGACGAGCTCACACAACGGCTATCCCGATTGAGGCAAATGTGATAAGTAAGTAGAGTTCTTAGTTATGTGGAACATGAATTGTTGTCTACTTTACCTGATAAAGTTGCAAAGTACTAATTTAAATGGTCTTTAGTAACAGTATTTCTTTCTTTTTAAAGATCTTGCGCGCTCTTCATTTTATCCATCTATTAAGCTTGCCTAGAGTATGGCTTTCATAAATTCTTAATTTGTTTATAATATTTTCATTTGTTTCTGCTATAAATAAATACTATGCTCAAAAATTAATTTTTTTCTTTGTTAGATCAAAGAATACAAAATCAACTGTCTTGGTTTGAAGCAAAAAAAAATATTCGAAATCTTCTTCTTTTGCAATAGGAAAAACAAATATTTTGGTATTCAGTGTGTTCAGAGTGCTGAGTACTATTAATCAAATATAATTTATGAGTAGCTGGCTATTCATTTTTATTCGAAACCTATTTTTGTTCAATAGGGGAAAGGAATTGAACTTTTTTTTTGACTTGTCAGTGTTATCACACAAGAAGAAGCAGATACTTTTATTTTCTTTTTAATTTTATTGTGATATTTGTAGTTGTACCAAAAGCTGTAGTTTTCTTCACAGACAAATATTTTCAAGCATGCTTTGGGTCCAGTGAAATAATGCTTAGTCTTTTCAATTTCTTCACCAGTTGTATTAGTGACTTATATTTGTTATATTAAAACAATGAAAAAAAGAAAAACAGTGTCGTGAGGTGTTAAATTATTTATAGACCTCCAACTTATCAACAATAAGGAAAATTCTGAAAACTCAACGTCATTTTTACTATCACAGACAATTATTCATACTAATATGTAACCATCATAACCATCTCAGTAGTTGCCCTTACTGATACACTTTTAGATACATAATACTTTCTTGGCAATAGCTGCAGATGAATCACATTTCAGAAGATTGTAGTACCACAAAGCTTCATTGCCAAGTTGTTGCACAGCAAGATAATGGCCTGGAGAAGTTTTACTGTCTCCCACCTTTGCACATTCCACACAAATATGTAATGCTCTTCCAAAAATCAACTGGAAACTTGCTGGCTCTTTGAGAAACAGACGGATACAGCTTTGAAGTATTTGTGAAGCAAAAGTATAAGCGTGACATTGAATGATCTGAGGCAAAAGTGTCACCAATGCCTGCATTACATGTACAACTGACTGAGGGGACATAACATCTCTGCGCTCAAACAGCAGCTCTGGAAGAATAGCAGGAGTGGCAAATACATCTTCCATATCATTTTCAATTGAGACTTCCTTGCAGATGTCCATAGATGTAACAATTGCAACAAGCAGGGGAGAAATTTCATCTGATGGTAACTTTTTTACATCAAGACGCTGAAACAATTCAATTTAAAGTTCACTGCAGTGTCTTTTGGGAAACTAACACAAAAACAAGTAGGAGGAAATTTTGTAAAGGATAAATTAATGGCCTGGTAAAAAAGTATAAAATATAAATAAAGTATAAAATATAAATCAAAAGCCTCACTTACCTCTAGTGCTTGAAGAGCATTTACAACTATGACTGTTTCCCTTGATCCAATGAAGCGTATAAGGAGTCGCAAAGCTTGGGAGGATGCAGGCTGTGGTAGACGTTCTACAAGACTTATTATACAGTCAAGGTGGGCTCTGCAAAGGATATCATTGGAACGATCCCAAGCTGCTTCCTCCAAAGTACGTAGAACCTCAGATGCATTTTCAACAGAGCACACCCTTGGTAATAGCAGTAATTTATTCTGGAGTAAAGAATGATTACTTAGCACGTCAGAAGGACTATTTCTGGTTTTAAAACCACTCCCTTTTTTTTCTGGACAGAATAGATGCCATGATTTGCTGAAATTTGCCAGCCAGTCTGTCTTGCGGTTTTCAGTCCACTGAAGAAATTCCAAAACATACCTGTCCAAAGAAAATAAAAAGATAAGAATGACAAAAAATTTGATAATGAACTTTTGAAAAACTTAACCTTGTAGGAACTTTACCCCTGAGCATGTGTATCTGGGGAATCCAGGAAGGTGGTTAAGGCAGGAACACATCTCACAATGACATCTTTCTCAAGATGTGGATATCCTGGCTCTATTAATTGTACAAAGAGTTGAGCACAATTCACTACAACAGCTGCACTGTCTTTATTTGCAAGATAAGGATCCAGAAGGCCTGAAATCAGATTAAATAGTTAAGTAATTCTTGTATTTTACAAGAAAATGTCAGGGTCTTAACAAACAGCCATCTTACTAAGTTGCGTGAACAGTTCTTGATCAGTCTTAGGAGTATACTTCCTGAGAACCTGCAAAATAGTGGCAAGCTGTGGTGGTTGAAAGTGAGGAAGTCGTAAGAGAAGGTATTGAGCTAGTTTTCTGTTAACAACTACTCCACCTTCAGGTGCAAGAGCCCTATCAAGTACAAGTAAGGACTGAACAACCACCAATGTATCTTCATCTCGAATAGATTCATACAGTCTGAGGAGAATGATAAAATAAATCAAGAGGAATATGACAGAGCACATTAAGCTTAAATAATGTGTTTTATGGGACCAACCTGTTAACAAATCCTTTTTCTTCGAGAAGACCAGGAGCGGTACTGAAAACTTTTCCACAAGCACTTACTGCTGTCCTCCTAACGCGGGGATGAGGGTCTCCCAGTGCAACTGCAAGAATGTCAGCAGCATAGAGTGGAAGAAGGGGAGGCAGCACGCTGACACCCCAAACACCTAGACATTTGACCTCAGGATTTGGGTCTCGACAATCTCGTATAACACAATTTGCAGCCAACAAAGCGGCATCTGGATTTTCCTCACAAAGTCTGAAAGCCAAATTACAAGTTTAATTATGAAAACAGAAGTTGTTTGACTGACATGTTCATGTTGGAGAAATTACTTTTGTAATGTTGCATATATACGACGTTTCACATCCAAGTTGTGTGATGGTAATAATTTAACTACTGGGCCAATGAGACAACTCTTATCCCCTGGAAGACAGGCAGCTTCTTGCATCTGTAATAAATTAATTTAAAAAAATGGAATTAATAGTAGCAATCAGAGAATTTATGTATCTTTAACCAAAGCAAAGAGACTCTATGAACTAAACAATACACTCACTTGTTGTAGGAGGACCAATAAATCCTCTGTGTTATCATTGTGACTCGCCTCTAGGAGGTTGGCAGTCAGTTCTTCCAATGACATGGCGTTGAAACTTGAAGTTTGAATAGGGAACAAGTGTCACAGTACTATGAAAGTACATAAATAAACAACATTTCTAACTAAACAACACAATATGTCAGGTCAGGTTATAGTTGGTTAATCACTTCTGAGCGCTTTTTCTCCCATACAGACGCCATATTCGTTGAGCACTTTCTTCCTTTCTTTTTCTCTTTTTCGTTAGCGCTAGAGAAAAAATGAAGAAAAAGAAAAGTTTACCCCCCGCCCCCTCAGTTGTAGATAAGCTGAGATAAACCTGGATAAACGCTTCAATTAATTGTATTTTCTAAACTAAGTCGGAGGCAAAGAGTCAGCAAAGGGTTAGTATATTCCCCTTTTCAAGTGGCACTGTTGTTAGTAAAAAAAAATGTCGTAAACGCGTGGGTACAGTAGTTATCGTTCTGTCAAAGCCTCTATTGACAGCAGAAGAGTTTGTTTATTTTGCTTCTGTTTTCAAAAACGACGTGCTATGACTTGTGACTCTTAGATTTTGGATTGATTTTCAGCAGTAGCTCCTGTATTGTTACAATTTTTCCAAAATTAGTTTGATTTCGAGCTTCAGTTTAACATTTTTTGCAGAAATTTAGGTTAGAAGTACTGTGTGGAAAGTAAGTGAAAGCTCTTGGCTTCTACCCCTCTTTAATTGTAAATGGGTTCCTCCTGAAAAAACACTGCCTCTGCAATTCTTCCAATCTAAAAATCTGTAAAAAGTAGTCTTTGTCTTTGTTGAACCGAAAACTTTATAAGATTGACTTACATGTCTTGGCTTTGTATTTTTTCCAGTCATGCTCTAGTGAGCATTGTGACATGTTTGTTTAAGATGCTTACCTTTACATTCATTTCAGCTTTAACTGATAATGCTACTTCTCATAGTAATCAAAGTCTCGATTGAGTAATGCCTTCTTGATTACTGGAACACCATGGAGGAGGCAGCACAAGCAGAAGAAGAAGATTTTCCTGGCCGTCTTCTTCATCAGGTTGGGAAAAGTTTATTACTGAATTACATTAATTTTTGCAAGGACGAAAGGAAATTACAGTTTTAAAACTTATATTTATTTTTTTTATTTAGGCTGCATTGTGGGATAATGCAGAACTTTTAGAAGACCTTCTACATGGAGACCAAATTGCCCACATCAATAGTCAAGATTCTTGGGGGCGAACACCATTGCATGCTGCTGCCACTAATGTGAAATCTCGGTGCCTTCCAGTTCTACTTCGCGCTGGAGGTATGATTAAGAAAACTGTATTAACTTGCTCAGTGTATCCTGATGGTCGGAGAGACACACTGACTTTGAATCAATATAAATGATTTTGTTGAGCTGTAACTCTTTTTTCCCCAGCAAATCCTAATATTTTTTGTGGACCACGTGATGAAAGAAGGGTCTGTATGCAGTCTGTAGTAGTTTTTAATAAATTAGCGTGAACTGGTTTTAATCTCTACATTTTAAATTTTAGACACCCTTGCATGTGAGTGCCGTTCATGGCCATGTCAGCAATGTTCTTCAGTTGCTAAGACATCATGCTGACCTCACTGCAACTGACCGCCATGGACAAACAGCTAGAGATTTGGCAGAAAAAGGGGGTCACCACGATGCTATGGCTGTCCTCAAAGAAGCTGCAGGTTAGTGCATATCAGTTTTTTACTTTTATATAGTTAACAATAATAAAAGTTATTGCAGTAATTGTCAGATTAATTTTAGATTTTTCTCCATTGTTGTTTACAAATTGGGAATTTTTACTCTATATTTCAGAAATAATGTTTGTGTTTTTGGTATGTGATCCAGTCCATGTGAAGTCTCTTCTCCTTTTACAGTTGATGTTGTTTACCTTTCTTTCAGAAGCATGATTCATTGATGAGTGTGTTTCCACATTTTATTCCTTTTCACTCGTGCCAATGTCTTGCTGTGTTATCTGTCTGGTCCATTTTACAGCCTCTTGTGCATGTTTATTCTCTTCTGATGTACCTTCTCTCGTGGTGCGCTCATGTGAGGTCATTCCCCCCATGTCTCCAATGCAGAATTCTGTTGAACGATGACCATGTCCGCAACTATTATTTATTCGGTTCCCATCGGTCCTGTGGTGGCCGCCGCCGGTGGCGTTGCGTGGCCTTGTCGGCCTTGTCACGTAAATAGCAGGCCCGGTCCCGGTGGGGCCACCAGCCACCACGGGGCCCGCGCTCGTTGGCACCAAAAGGGCGGACGGTGGGGAGCGGGGAGCGGGAAGGGCTGCTGGCAGGACGAGCCGGGCAGGGCAGGGCCGTTCGCTTTGCGCCGGCCGCTTCCGATAAGACGCGCCGCGGTGCCACCAAGGTTCCGCAGACAGACGGCCACCGCGCGCCGAAGGTCCTAAAGACTTCCTCTTGCCCCCCCC